ATCAAGTGCTCTTGAATTTGGCTTCTGCATTACTTATTTTTTTCATTCAAATAAGGAGTCTACATCCTACTGACACTCACCGATTTGGGCATTTAAAAAAACCCGAACAAACACTACCCCCTGGGCTTTTATTAAATCGAAGTCACCATTCAACTAAGACCTTTGAAGTCACAGTTTTTGGAGGAAGAAGAAAGGATGGGGAAAGGCTGCTCTTGCTGTTTTAAACTCAATAATTTGGTTAGCCTAATAAATATTTTTTTTTTTTTTCCCCACAACTCATTTTCTGTCAAAAGCTTTTGCTTTTGACCAAGGAAAGATGAAAACGTCCCTCCAATTAGGTAAGTGCCAATCCTTTACACATGCATAAAGATTTGTTAGCAATACTGTGGCTACCACTGTTTGTACTGGTTTTGGCTGGGGTAGAGTTAATTTTCTTCACAGTAGCTAATATGAGGCTGTGGCTTGGGTTTGTGACCAAACCAGCGTTGATACCACAGAGACTTTTTAGTGATTGCTGAGCAGTGTCTGCCCAGCATCCGCCTCTCACACTGCCCCACCAGTGAGTGGGCTGGGGGTGCACAAGGAGTTGGGAGGGGACACAGCCAGGGCAGCTGACCCAAGTGATATTCCATACCATTTGATGTCATGCTTAGCAATAAAAGCCGGGGGAAGAAGGAGGAAGCGGGGGGAAATGTTCAGAGTGATGGCGCTTGTCTTCCCAAGTAACCCTTAGGCATGATGGAGCCCTGCTTTCCTGGAGATGGCTGAACACCTGCCTGCCCATGGGAAGTGATGAGTGAATTCCTTGTTTTGCTTTGCTTGCATGCCTGGCTTCTGCGTTCTCTCTTAAGCTGTCTTTATTTCAACCCACGAGTTTTATCACTTTTCCGATTCCCTCCCCCATCCCACTGCAGGGGCGAGTGGGTGAGTGCTGTGTGGGGCTCAGCTGCCTACCCGGGCTAAACCACCCTGTTTCCTTTCCAGGTTAATTAACTCTGTTCAGTAATATTCCTGAGAGCAGTCACCTTTCTACAATAGACATTTTTTAAAGACTTTGAAGCTACTACGTGATGGAATTCAGTCATGAGTCTAATTAGTGTATAACAAACTTCTCCTGTGGTTCCTAAGCTTGTATGTATGAGCTGTTTCAGCCCTCCTTTACAGCAGAGCATCTGAAGTTTCTACCATTACTGTTCTGCGGATAGACACGCATTTGGGTAAATGCATGGACACAGCAGTGAACAAAACATTCTCGTGTGTTAAGTGTGCTTCTCTAAAGCAAAAGAACAACAAGGTTCAGAAGAACAAGGCCTGTTAAAAGGTTCCTACAGGGAAGCCGGACCATTTCTTAAAAGCTACTTCTGCAGAGATTAGTGACACCAATGTCCTTAGAATATCGGATTCAGAACCATGAGGCCAAGGGTTCCCAAGCACTGATAGCGTAGAGATTCATTACCAGCCACGATGCTTTGCAGTACATGGACTAGTGTCTTCCAACACTCTGCTAAATGCACACTGTGCTCTAGCAAGGGAGGGTACTTTCAAAGTTTGAAGAATCCTAACCTAAATTTAGGTAGTGTAACTACCATGCATTGCCTAGAAAAATTATTCAGTTCAGTTTGCAAGAAAAGGATGCGAGATCATCTTTTATTAGGATAAAAGACTATAAATCAGAGGGAAAAAAGTGCTACCAAGTAAATCACTTCAAAGTAATAGAGCTCTTTTCAAAGACTTTACAAAAAATTCAAAATATTTGCTTTTTTTTAAAAAAAGTTTCAATTATTTATAGCCTAAATTTGGTCCTTCTAATACAATTAATTTCCTAAACTAACTGAAGTCCTGGTATATTGACTAGTGTACTACAATTTTATTCTGATTTCACCTTTATTCCTTATTATATCTGCATTTCTCAGATGTATCCTTTCATTTATGAAACAGTATTCATATTTCAATTTTCTGACACACAAGCTAGGAACAAGCTTTCAAAGATAACTTCCTACATATGGAATTACATCCTGACCTGTAAAAGTATTATTTGCTCTAATAATTTAACCCAACATTTTTCAACTCTTTCACGAGAGCTGGTTGCAAACATATTTTTACACATTTAGCTATTAAAAACCCCAGTCAAATAAACTAAATACACATTCCAGACTTGCTGTATACTATAAGCAATCACTCCCTATTCTTGAAATCCCTATTCATTGTTCTCTTCAGAGGAGCATTATTTTCTTCTACATTCTAGAAACAAACAGCTTTCAAAAATTGTTCTCTGGAGTTCAGACCTTAGAAGCCAAGTGGTTTTGTACTTTTTTTTTTCTTTTGGTGCTGACAATCACAATAAAAGAAAACTCTGGACTATTTACATGTTTTTTACCAGTTTTCTAAGCATAAGGAGACACTTATTTGTGACACATGGCAGGAAGTGTGTGTGTGGGAAGAAATTAAAGTGCTTTTGTTTTTTTAAAACACAGAAAGGTTTCATAAAAAGATGGTATCGTAAAAAGCCTCTGTCCCTTACAAAGCAGTATTTTCTGCAATTTTAGCCATTCTAAAAAAGAACAGTGTGGCAATGGACATTTTTGCAGTACTATAAAATAATCAGAAAATAATTAGGAATTTAGTCCAGAGACATAAAAGCACCTTAGAAGTGCATGCAATTACTGGTAAAGAGAAGCAGGAAGAAGTTCAGCTTGAGGAGATGTGTTCTACAGAGGAACAGAAGGTTCTGAGAGGTGGATACCAACTGAGCGTTTGGGCTGGTAATAAAGCATTAAGTAGAAGTAATGAGAGGAAACAAAGAGCGATAAAGAGAAACAGTCAAGACAAGATTATATTGTTGGGGGGTGTTGACCAGAATATGACAGAATTTGTGTTTTTAATATTGCCGTGTCTTATCAGAAGTGTAAAACACTGTTTTACCCTTAGTGTAGGTTAGTTTTACAGAGCTAACTGCAGATCTGCAGCACTGTAACAGCTGGGTAGAACTCTCAGTAAGGTGAAGATAATTACTTACTCCCATCCCAGACAACAAAGGACTGGTGTCAGGGTTCAGTTAAAAAAAAAAAAAGTTTTTTTCAAATGTGTGACGTAAGCTTTAACACACCACATAGATGAATTATGAGTCTTAAGAGAATCAGTGAATTCAATAACTTGTGCTCTCACTTAACTGTAGGGCTTCATTTACATACATGGAATTTCCAGAAGTTGTCAAAGGAGTGTAATTTAGCTTGCTATTATATCAGATGAAGTTTTAGAAAAGTTGATGAAAGGATTGTATTCCTGAGGTTAGAAAAAGCAGACAACCTTTTATCTGATGATCTAATTAATGATATTAGCACTTCCTATAAGCCTTGTATCTGCTATTAAATCAAGAACTTAAAATTGTTTTAAATTTTACCTACAGTGTTTTTACAAAGTTTCCCTGAAAGAAAGAAAGAGAAAGTAGCAGTATCATTACAGCTGACTATTCAAATCCAAGAACAGTGTCTTGCAAATTATATATACAAACCCTGATCTGTCGCCCACCCCTACTCCCTGAAATCCTCCCTCAGCCTATAAGAAGTCTATGCTCAGCAGAGCACACTGTCTTCTAAGTTCCAGAATCAAAAATGAGAGGGCACTGATGCAGTCTAAGAACATCCGAGTAGTTTTACAGCACTTTCCTTTGTACAAAATTCATCATCTGTGCTAAATCTCTCTCTTTAGGCTTAGAAAGACAGTTTGGAAAGCTACCTGGAAAACACCTCTCTGACTAGGAACACCCACAACAGTCAAATGTTGCCTACATCTAGATAGTTCAGTCAGGTTTGAAACAAGCAGTTAGTCTTATACTGACACTGCAAAGTGTCCGTATTATGCTGTTATGAATAAGGAGTTTCTTTTCAAGTTTGTGCAAGCATGTACAAATACCTTCTGCTTTTCCAGTCAAACACTCCTAAAATTTACCTGCGTCATTTAAACTGCAGGGGAGGAGAGAGGGGAAAAACATGAGTTCTGCAGCACAAAAGCATATCTGACATGTAAGAGCTTCACAATGTAATTCTACCACCGCCAAACACTTCAAGCACAATTTCTTTAAGGTAAGAATGAGGCAAGACAATGATTTAATCTTATAACCAACGGAATAGAAAGCCTGAGAGTGTCAACTGCAGGATGCCTAATACAATGGTATAATCATCAGACAGTGCCCAACAGCAGAGGAGTTTAAGAGGCACTACTTCCTTTAACTTAGGTCTTCCAGGCCTCACCTCAAAGAAATGACATATCTAGGTGAACTAATTCTGAAAAGCAAGATTGTTGGTAGGATAAATATGTAATAAAACTAAGAGGTACTACATCAAATAGGTAACCTGAGGAAAAACAGAAGAAAACCAGATGTTATCAAGCAAGGCTGAAGACTCACCCACGTTACCAGGTGTTTCTTTAACATGCCACAATTTTAAGAATCATAAAAGTGTTACAAACTTGTAGTTCAGGAAGCAACAAGAAGCCAGCTGAAAGGAAACATTTGGAACTCCAGGTTTCAATTGCTTGTCCACTTACAGAAGTACAATTACATATAGGAAAAACCCAAACCTCTCATTTTTTCCAAGTGATTAACAAAGATATATTGATATATTCCAGCTTTTCCAAGGAGTCTGTCTGCACCTGAACTGGGACAGTCTTTGACAGTCTATTACATTAATTCATTTTAGTGACACAAATGTTGTCATTCTGATATAAACGAGCTCATTGCAGCTTTCTAATTTTTGCCACAGACAGAATCAGTGACAGTCATTATGGAATCTTTTTCAAATGTGTTACTAATTAGAAAATTAGGTCCTTGTAATTTGAAATAATTAACTTGAAATTGTGGATCCTACATTTGAAATAAAGAAGTGTTTTCCCCATTACATCAGCTCTTTGAAATATGATAAACTTAAAACCTTCTAAAATTAAATGTGATTAGTTTCCCCAAAATTTCCACCCAGCACCTTTAAAAGACATTCACTGCCTACCTGAACCATCACTGGAGACTGAACTCGCGTTAATTCCAGAAAGGCCAAATAAGGGACATTCTCGATCAGTGTTTACATGACCCCACTTGTGGCATTTAATACATCTCACATTCCGCACCTAAAAGGAAAAAAAAATTTAATATAATTTAGTTAAAAATATAGCTTAAGATTTACAGAAATGTCTATGTTATTAGGCATAAGAGAAGATTTTAAACTCACTGAGAAACAGATGATAAAATTAAGAGAGTCCATGTGAATGTTCTGCAGCTAGATAATATTTGAAATATACCCAAGACATCCACAGAGTGAAATTTATGTAACTTGCCTGGATACCAAATGGCTGATCTCTGATATTCATATCATCCTTAGCATATCTGTTACACAAACACAAAAGAAAACAAATACTCAATTCACTATTTTTTAAAAAACCATAGTATACAAAACTAACTTTTTTTGTTAAGTGTGTATCCATTTCAGAGACATACTTCTAGTAAACATTTTTAATGTTTTTTCAAATATGGATGTAAAATTAAAACAAAAACTAAGAGAATCAAGGAAATAGTTCCAGGTTTATAGGTTTTATTAATTAACTGCCAGGACATGACAGGATTACACAAGTGACCTGCTCAAAAATAAAACAGGAAAAAAAATAAAACAGGGAAAAAAAGAAAAGGTAAGTAAGAAGAAAAAAAAAAGTTTATTCGGATAAAATCCAGACATCTTACTTTTCTCGAGGGGCCACTTTTTGCCATTCAAATTTGTATTCAGTCTCTCCTTCTTGCTATAAAACAGAAAACATGGTCAGCTTTAATTTTTTTTTAGTACGTTTTAAGTAAGTAGGAAGAAAGCATAAAGAATGATGTAATGGAAATACCTCTTTAGTTTCCTCTTTGAATTTTCAGATATCATGGAAAGAAAAGAAATTATATATTAATTATACATGTAAAATGCAGCTGGTGTCTAAGCTAGAGAGAAAACATTTGTGGTTTATAATAACACAATAATGCAAATACTCAGAAAGTAACTTTATTTAAATAGAGCGTACTTATAAATAATCAGCCTCTAGTATATGGTTACAAATCCTGTAAAACTTGAATCATCTTTTAAAACTGCATTTCCAAGGGTTTTCGTACAAACAGGAAAGCTGGATTTTAAAGGGAATATGCTTTATTTTAAAGGGAATACGCTTTCTTAGTTCTGCACTTACATTCAGATTTCGCTAAAATTAAGTGACTGATACGAGTATCCATCAGGTACTTAGTAACTTCCGCTTATGAATCTACTAAATACAGTCATAGTCAGACCCACCAGAGTCAGGTCAGCCAGCATGTTCGACTACAGAATCTCAGTATTTGTTACTTATAAAACTTCCACTATCTAAGTTCTTGCTTTGGTATTTCCTATGCGTGACATGCATTAAGCTGAATTATGGACAGAAGTTTTAAGTAAAAGTGACCCTGCTATTTCTAAAAAAGAGAGTAGGCCAAAATACAGGTTTGTGTTGTCCGAGTCATTGCCTTGGTAAGGTCTAGTCCTCCTCATCCAATGGCTTTACAATCGGCTAAAGAGACACCTTTGGTCAAGGACAGAATTTCTGCTGTTGCCAGGAAAGATATTTTATCTGGTCTTTTCCCTTCATGTTGAACTGTTGCTTAAAAAACCCAACCATTCTCAGTTTGAAAGAAATTAAAGTATTGTGAGACCAAAATTATTACATACTATATATGTCTGCATATTACCACAGGAAGAACTAAAAATCATGCCTTCTAACATTACCTCACTATAAACACATTATCTTAAAATGAAAGACATGCTTATTTCTTCAGAAGGTTTCTAGCTTTGCAGTACCATCTGCTCACGATCAGGAAATTGCAGTACCTTTCTTTGCTCCAGGTGGGGCCTCATACATGAAATTAAGACCATTCTTAACACGCTCATCACCCATAAGCAATCTAAATAAAAGGACAGAGTTCAGGGTGTTACAGACAAAACAGTCACATTGGTATTACTTATTTAAAAAAAAATGCAGCAGGAAATTATTATAATAACTGGTAATTTTTCATTTGTCAATTTGAGTAACAAAAGTTGAATATCAAAAAGCTTGAGAGACAAGTCAATACTTATGTGTGATCCACTGTGTACCAAAAAATCACACGTTTCAAACACAATGGAAGCGTGACTCTGTGTCCGTAGAATTACGAAAGATGGATTTCTGTGTGATCCAAATATATTGTTATACAAGGTTACCTGCTGTTCTGTGCCATGAAACATATTTTGAAATGAATTAGAAGACACACATAAGCCCCTTCAAAGAAATTCTTGTGACATCTGCTTAATCAGACATCAATTCATGAGCCACTGTCCTCTGCTACTACTACAGTCAATTACAGTCAATGGGAGACAGTATTTCAAATAACTCACAGTGATATGTCCTTCACTGCCCTAAAAACAAGAGACAATAGAAGTGTGTGATCTTATGCCAGTTCTCACCTATTATCATAGGACTCCTGTTCTTTCAGATACTGTTGCATTAATTCTTCTTGTTTCTTCTTATCATATGATATTTTCTGTTCTGCCATCCATACCTACTTAAAACAAGTAAGTTTCTTCTTTAAACAAATACAAAAACTCCCTCAAAATGTATTCATTATAAATACCTAACTGGCTTAATCTACTGAAAATACTTAACAAGGGAAAAATTCCCATGCCAGTCACATAAGATATCTTATTTTCATCCAGCATTTCAACAAATGAACTTCACACAAGCAGTAATTTTGATGCTACAAGTCCAACAACATTTAAGAACTGAAAAGACATGAGAAAGTTTAGCCATTCAAGGGGAAAAAGCAGGCTCAGAAGACACGCTGAGCGTGCCACTATCTTCCCTGTAGCGACACTTCCTGACCTGAGTCTCATCAGACCCCAAATCTCGGGTTCTCTTGGGAACTCATGGAATGGTACAGTTCTGGGGAAGAGAGATCTGGAACCAGGTCCAGGCAGGTGTGAAATATTAGGAAAACATGGGCACATCTTGACAGGTGGGAGTTTTCCTGGACCGTGTATAGTGCCTACTTATCCAGAGAACCAGATGTTGAAAAGCTGGAGCTAAGAAAAGGCGACAGTTTTATACACACCTGCGAGCAAGTAAACCTGAAGCTTCATGGATTTCTTAACTTTTTTTCCTGCCTTTTCCTTCCCCCTTGCTCCAACGCCGGTTCCACCACAGGAAGGCCGACATGCCCTGATCACGCCGTTACGGTGCCAGGAGCCCGTCATCCCCCCGGTCCCGTCCCACCCTCCCGGGCTGCCCCGGTGCGCGGCTGACA